TTAGATAATACGGAATATTCCATTGGCCAGTTTGGGTCTGTTGTTTTGTCTCTGCTCCCTCCCAGTGTCTTGTGCACCTGCACATGAGCAGAATGGGAGAATTTGAAAAGTACTTGATTTCTTAGCAACAGCTGAAAACATCAGTACATTCTCAACATTCTTCTCATATCAAATCCCATACTGAATCCAAAACATAGCACTATTCTAGCTACTAAGGGGGGGGGGAATAGCACTATCCCAGCCAAAACCAAGGTGGTGTGGGGGGGAAGAAAGTAAGTCATTGCCTTTCTTTGGCAGCGTTGGAGCAGTTGCCCCTGGAAGTGAAGCCAAACTGTAATAGAAGGCCACGGCTAACATACACACAAGTTAGACTAGTTCTAAATAACAGAAATGACCTGTTACCATGTTATGCTGGGTACCCTTAAGATAGAGATCTTTGCAGTTTTCTTCAGTAAAGATATTTCATGGCCATTGTACTCGTGTGCTGCGGCTGGCCAATCCCCCCAGCTGCAGGTAGCTGTTCTCCATGATAAGCTAGTTCAGGAGGTTCTTGCTCCTGTCCTCCTGTAATTCCCGCACTTTCTGCCCTTGTTCTTTGCTGCTGGGAGTGTTAGATCATGCTGGAAAAAAATGGATTTAAAAAATAAAGTCTTCAGGAAATTGCTTTTTGTTTGTAGCGCGTTCACTTCAGTGATCCAGTTAACTGCTTGCTAGAACTGAGGAGTAGCAAATGTAGCACAGATAAGAGAACGCTACCTGCTGTATTAACCTCCTGGGAACCACAGCAAGGGTTGCGCTTGATCCAAAGTTCTTAAATTTGAAGTCAGCACTAATGACCAGGTCTTAAAATTACCAAAGACATTGGCTTCCTTTGTGAATAAAGTCAAAATGCTCTTACTGAATTTCATGAAAGCTTTCCTTTTTTTTTTTTTTTTTCCCCTTTCTTTCTTTCCCATGCTGCTGACTGAAAGCAGATATTGTTAAAAGACTTGGTTTAGAAATGGTCATAATGTGCAAGTATGAAAGTGCTGGGAGAACACTGACGGGCTTATGGTCATCTGTGTCCTGAGGCCGTTAGCAGGTGTGTGTCCCTATCCATGATCGTTGCATCAAAAATAAAATTTTGCTATAATGGCACACCTAATTGTCTTTGTTTCTTATTTACAGGCACATCTGGAAAGCATGTGAATAAGAACCTAGAGTGGGTTTCCTTATTTACTTTTTCAAGTTTCATTTAAATCCCATTGTATTTTGTTACTTAAAAGAAACCATGTGGGCAGTTGGCTGTCCTGTTCCAGTCATTTGGCTGTCAGGGTGTGTATTGGAATGACCTACCCCCTCCACAGTCACCCACCAAAAAAATGTGTGCCTCTCACAGCCCAATGACTCTTCCCCAGTGCCTGGCTCACTTGAACAGTTGTGACAGTTTGTAAAACTGGGAAAAAATTTTGCATCTTTTGTGGCACTTTTCTTTGGAACATTATTGGTCGAGTAGCCCGTGAGCTCTGCTTATCACCAAGTGGGTCCTATAGAAGTTTGGGGAGAAAGAGGAAGATGCTGTTAATGCTACCAGCAGTAGAATGTATTGTAATTCTTCAGATATGAGGGGAGGAACCCGTTTCCTCTCTCCAGAAACAGAGTAGAGAGTGACTCAGTTCTTTAGGTGGGTTTCACTCATGACCCAGAAAAGAGAACAAGCAGAAACCTGAGCCCCTATTTGGTACATGCACACTTTGATTCAGCTTGCTCTTGTCTGATAATTGTCTTGGATCTCGGCCATTATGTTTTGAAAAGCCCTCACTTCAACAGCAAAAGGAGGGTCTCCAGTTCTGAAATTCACAAAAGTAATTTTGCCTGAGTTCTGTGCTTGTTCTTCCATGGTATATTCCTTTTTGGTAATTAAACCGTAACTGCTAACATTGAAGTATACTTACATGCTAACAATTAAGTATACTTAAATATTTCGGTATGCTTAAGCCTTATTAATGTTCAGGCCTTCTTTTTGCACCATTAAGTGGTATGTGCGTTATTTGTGGTTTTTTTTTTTTTTTTTTTTTTTTTTTTTCTTCCCCCTGGGAGAAACCTGCTTAAGACTCTTGACAGTTTTACTTGAAACTTGACCAACTTGGTTGTACAGTGCTCAGAAGTTTGCTGGTGCTCTGGAGTTCTTCCTCTGCCCTTTGGGTTAAACACTGTCACAGAGAATGATACAACAGAGGGCTTGCTATCATGTACTTTTTATCTCCGGGAAGCATCATAAAATTAGGCATTCTGGTTATATTTAAATGTGCAGGGGCAGAGCTGGTCTTTAGCAGTGCTGTTTGGTATGTGATAAGGTAGAGGTGTTGTTTAGGATCAATATCGACGAATAATTTAGAACTCTAATTTTCTTGTAAGAATCTCTGTTAAAATCAAAAGGATGAGATGATGTGTACCTGTATATGAACGGAAACTCTTGCATGTCCTAATTTGAATTATACCTCAGCCCAGGAGTATACCAGTTTCTCCTGTCACATTCCTGGAGTGTGACATTACCTCAGATGCAAAATAGAGAATGCCTGAAGATAGTTTTGCTTCTAAGCTGGCATCAAAAGACTTTTTTCCTGAACTATTGAAAACCAATTAAATTGGGGTAAAAACTCAGTCATTGTAAACTCTTACACACATTTCTGTACCTCATACCATGGGGTTTTTTTGGCCTTTCAGGTGGCTGTGTAATTTCGGGTTCATACACTGAACACAGGTTGAAGATGAGCAATTCTGACGTGGTCCTTGCTATGAGTTGGTAGCCTAAAAAGGAGCTTAGCAAAGAATCAAGGTAGAAGACAGCAAGACAGACATACTGTCAAAGGGAGGGGGGAGAAGAAGTCAAATGAAGTAATACAAATGTAGGGGGATGAGCCGAGAGCTAAATAACCAATCAGTGAATTGCCAAGAGTTGAAGGGTCACAAAAATGGCTTGTCTCTTGTGCAGTTCTTGTACAAAACCAAGACTGACTAATCATTTGTTTTCTGTGAAATACAGTGTTTAAAAAAAGGAGATCAAAAATGCTTGCACAGGAGGAGGAGGTGTAATTTCCAGGCAGATGATAACTACGAGTGAGAAGGGAATAGATCTGCACTTTTGGACATGGGAATACTGATAGTATGATGTCTTGTGAAGACTTTTCTTTAAATAAACCCAACCTGAATCTAGCTTTTAATCTCAAAGAGGAAAAAAATCCTCAGCATGGGCATCAACTGCAGTTTTTTTAGTAGAGTTAATAGTCTTCTGCTCACTGAGAAATGAATGACACATGGGAAGTAAGCAGTTGCAGGAGTCATTTGGAAAGTGGATTTCCTTTTGGAATTCCCAAATGCTTAATAGTCAAATATAGGCATGAGAGATTTGAGCATGTGAAACAGTTTTCCTCCTGGTGCTGTCTGCTTATTGCAATGCAGATTTGAAGCCAAGGAGAAAACACTACAACCAGCTTATGAAAGAGATTAGATTTTGTTTTTTTAGCTGTTTGACTTTAAATTTTCTACAATATTAGCGAGATGCTGCAGCGCATGATCAGGGTTGGGGAAATTTTGTAGTATCTGAACTACATCTACTTATTAGAGTGTTTTCTTTCGCTTTTTGTTTTGATTTTGTTGTTGTTTTTTTTTTCCAAAAAAAGCTTACTCTGAAAGATCAACTCCTTCAACAGTATTGAAGAAAATGGGAGAAGTCTCTTATAATGATTGATCAATTAATTGAGAGAAAATAAATTATGATACTTTCAAGACCCTGAATTTTGAGAATTGAACAAAGGAGTTCTTTAGTTGGATCAGTCAGATGAAAAGCAGACTTTATGTCTTTTAAGAAGCTTGGAACATCAAATGTTATACTTCTCTGCATTTCAAGGTCTAATTTGTGGTTTGTTTTAGCCATTGTTTGGAAGAAAGAATAAAATATCCTTTTGCATGTCTTTATTTTAAAATGTGTCGATCCAAGACTTAAGGATCAAAAATTAAAATATTTCTGTGAGGAGACTGAAGCAATATGTGTTTCTGCCATGACACAAGAAAATAATAAACTAAGATGAAATCAGTATAGGACTCTTCCCCCTGTACTCAGCCCTGGTGAGGCCACACCTCGAATACCGGGTTCAGTTTTGGGTCCCTCACTGCAAGAAAGACACTGAGGTGCTGGAGCGTGTCCAGGGAAGAGCAATGAAGCTGTTGGAGGGCCCAGAGCACAAGTCTCATGAGGAGCAGCTGAGGGAACTGGGGGGGTTCAGCCTGGAGAGAAGGAGGCTGAGGAATTTGACCTGATCAATCTGTACAGCTACCTGAAAGGAGGCTGTAGCGAGGTGGGGGTCAGTCTCTTCTCCCAAGTAACAAGCGATAGGGCGAGAGGAAACGGCCTCGAGTTGTGCCAGGGGAGGTTTAAATTATATATTAGGGAAAATTTCTTCACCAAAGGGGTTGTCAAGTATTGGAACAGGCTGCCCAGGGAGGTGGTGGAGTCCCCATCCCTGGAGGGATTTAAAAAATGTGTGAGTGTGGTGCTGAGGGACATGGTTTAGTGGTGGCCTTGGCAGTGCTAGGTTCATGGCTGGACTCAATGATCTTAAAGGTCTTTTCCAACCTAAATGATTCTATAATTCTAAAGTTTCCATATCTGATTTTCATTACTGTGTAGCTCGGTAGCATATTAATGGCGAGTTGTATCTAACTGAATGTAAAGTGTTTCTGGACAAACAGTGCTTGTTTTGTTAATACACCGAACTTCTTTGCTAAACAGAAAAACTGACGTTAATACATATTTCAGTGACTTTTAAGGGTGTGAAATTGAAAAATATGAATACTTAGTTGGTGTCTTTTTCCTCATGTTGGGGCGAAAGCATGTATCTTAGGGGGCTGGCACTCAAATCCTAACCAGAAATTATTCTCTGAACTCTTTCAATCTGCAGTCATTAATCTAAGTGTCTGAAATCAACCTGCAATAAATGGAATGCCTACATCTTTTTCAGGGGTATCTTGGTGAGGCTGGAAGGATGCAGCCATCCTGTTGTTATGAAAGGCTTGTGTGCAGAATGTGGCCAGGACTTGACTCAGTAAGTATTCTCATCTGTTTTTCCAACTTCTTGCTTGCAATTAGGGATCCAACCTCTTTCTCATTTACTTCTTTGCTTCTCAGTTCCGAGTCTTGGTAGCTGTGAATCATACCTATAAGGGAAACTGTGAAGTTGTAAATAATAGGGAAAGAGAACAGTATTCATACTGCTTAACATAAGTAGGTCTACTCAGAGTGCTCCTGTAAGGAAAGTTGAGAGGGAGTTTCCTCTACAGGTTGTTTCAGTGTAAAGCACTCTTTCACATTTCCTTAAAAAAAAAAAAAAAAATCTATTGAGATTGGCTTGTGAAGTTGTTGCTTAAAGTTGAGTTGTCTGAATATATTAATTATTGATCATGTTATTAATAGTGCAGTCATTTCATAAAGTATATGTCTTCACTGAAAAATTACTACTTGTAGGCAGAATTGGTGTTCCTTGTGGATAAAACCAACCCATGAAGAGGAAACAGGCAAGGTCTGTGCCACTGTTGCAGAGTATCTTAATTTACTTTTGCTATTTACACAAGGCACTTGCTTTGTTAACCTGAAATTTTGAAAATATGTGCCCTCTTTCTCCTTACACGTCACTGTAGTCACAGATACATTGTTTAGAACTATATTTCCTTTTAATCATTACAGGGATTCGTAACTAAGAATACGGGTGAATAAGATGTCATGTGGGCACTTGAGTTACAGTTCACATTAGATTTATGACTTAATAACTGCGTATGCTCTCTTTCTGTGGAGGTAAATGTAGGGTAACTTCCTACCTTAGGTAGCAAATGTAAAGAGAATGCATACAGACATAAATTATCATCACAGTGTATCCTACTTTGGTTTTTATGTACTCATAACTGAGGTTGAGAGTTGTAAGGTGTGTCAACAGTGACTTAATAAACCTGAAATTTATATCTGTGCGGGTGTAAACAGCTGTGAGGTAGCATCAGTCGCATTCATGTGACCTTGCTTCATTTGTACGGTGTTTGAATGGGAGCTAGCTTGTCTCCAGTGCTTTCAGTTGAAGCCTTTAGAACTGTTTTCAATTTTTTTTTTTTTTTTTTTTTTAATATTCTGACATGGAACTAAAGGAATTTAAGCCTTAGGCCAAAAAGAAAGCAAATGCAAAAGATAATTGTATTTCTCTTTTGTTCTTATTGCTAATACAGTTGGTAAAGAGAATGTTTCTTATGCATATCAAATTGCTAATTCAACAGCTGTTTTACAAAGTGAACTGTATAGTAGCCTGGAGTTTAGAAGTGAATGTTGCATGCTCATTTTATTTGGACAGAAATACTTTGGTTTCATTTGTGAACGTTATCCCATGAATAAGTGCAAGTGGACTGATTATTGAAAATGTTATGCAATGTAGCCCAGTTAGTTGTTGGATATAACTTTTAATGAAAAGTTGACTGCTAATATTTTGTAAACAGGTATTATTTGGTGAAACAGCAAACCTAACAAAAAGTTAGGATAATAGCAAATAGGGCTTTGCCTGCCCTGAATAAATACCTTATTTGAGGTTTGAATACAGTCGCATCTAAATGTTGCTATATTGCTATTATTTCATTAAAAATCTAGATAAATATGGGGTATGCAGTGAATTCAGTTTCCTCAATTAATACACCTCTGCTTCAGATGTCTTCATTTTATACAGCTGGAAGAACATGTTGGGTTTGATGAGCCTACATCAGAAGGCAGTTCAAAAGCATCAGTCCTTTTCTGGCTTGAAGTAAAGCGAGTACAGCCAGATCACTGCCACCTTGTTGGGTGTTAGTGGTACACCTTTTCTGTTAAGTAATTATGCTCATTCAACAAACGGTCTGAAAACAGTTCATCTTTTATTAAGGCTTATTTAAAATGCTACACAGAAGATGTGTTCTGTACTCTGAAGCAAAGAGTGTAAGATGCTAAAATGTGCTTGTAAACATTGGACCAAATGAAGTATGTGTCTTCTGTTTCTGGGTATCAGTGCTTCCAAACACGGTGGTACAGTAAAAACACATCTGTCTGTGGCTGTGTCTGCCTCAGCACAGCTCAGTAATGCTTCTTACCTCAGAAGTTTGTTTATCATGAAGGGAAAACTGAGTGAAGTTTAGATCTGGCTGCAGATCTGATGCCAAATTTTGTCGTAGGACAGGTACTTGAGAGGATTAAGAGATGGGCATGTGTTATATAGAACAAAATTTGTATGGTAGTATTTTTAATGTTGGTGGACCATAAATAATGTCTTTAAAATGAGTGATCACAGTTCCCAGCAAATTGATCTGTGTAAGCTGGAAGCTGGTGATACTGAGGATGATATGTATTCTGTATATACATGCATCTGTATATCACATGGCTATGTATACAAGCAGAACTGTATGCACACATATCTAAAATAAATACAGGCACACACATGTAGTACCTCACTCTGCTTGTGCCGAAGGTAAAAGCATGTACAGTGATTTTTTTGGATGCTTTTTCTGAAACAGCAGTCACATCTAAGTCCTTCTGCTATGCATAAAAAGGAACTTTGCATATCCTTTGCTTCAGTTTATTTCATAGTCTGGCTTGGAGAAAAGTGGGTAGCTGCATGCTGAGTGATTGCAAAAAAAGGAAAGGAATAGTTTAAAATTTGAATGGTTTTGTAGTTGTACTTAGTTTATAACTGTTTTCTAATGCCACCCAATACCTAGATGTCTGTTTCATCATAGTGTCATTTTTCATGAAATAATTATATGGACGCATAATTAATTACAGTGACTTTTAAGAAGGTTTTTGTGGTGAGCTGCTTCGATCTCTTTATCCATTTGCAGTAACTTGCATTAACAAGAATTTGAAAGAGCATATTAGTCAAAACAGCTCTTTTTAATCATAGTTTTTTGGTGGTGACTAGTGTGATACTACAGATTTTAGTGTGTTCAATTTTTCACTAAACTATTACTCTCTCTTTTGATGCTGCTTCTCCCTGGGTGATTAGGATACGAAGCAAGAATGGAAAGCAGAATGTGCCATTATCCACAGCAACTGTGTCTATGGTTCACAGTGTCCCAGAACTGAAAGTTAGCTCTGAGGTGAGTACCATCATGCTTTCTTTATTCATACCTTTCACCGTAGCTCCACAGTTGAGAAGCTTAACTATAGGAGTTTCTTCAATGTTGTGTATACTTCATGCAGAAAGTTTGGCTTCCCTCTGAAGAGGAGTTTGGTGTTGAACATCAGTAGCCCAGGGTTTTTGTGTGTTTACCTTAATGCAGGTTGATTGTTATCGGGTTTTATAGTGGTTTCTTAGAGCTGTGCACTGAAAACATGGCACTTCTGTGACAGCCTGAAAACTTACTACTTTAATGGTTTTGTCTATATGAATGAGCGGTTTGTGGAAGGTTCGGTTTCCACTAGCTGAAATGTGTTCAAAGCTCGCAATGTATTTGAAACCTGCCTTCACCTTGAAATTGGTCTCACCAGGTATAGTAAAGCTAGTTTGTTTGCAACTTACCTGTATATTACTTCATTATTTTTCAAATATTCAGTGTTTTCAGATATTCTATTCAGCTGAGTTAATATTCTTGTTTGTTCATCCCTCAGTTTCTTTAAAGGAAATAAGGTGCTTATTTTGAACATAAGCATTCTATTTATTTTCCTTACCAACTTGATTTTTTTTTTTTTTTTTTTACCTTTTTATGTTGCTGCTTGCTCTTTTTTTTTTTTGGGGGGGGGGGGGGGGTTAATGAGAAGAAATATGAAGATATAAGCAGCTAGAAGTGTCCCCATCATAGAGGAGCATTTCAAAGGGCAGTTTGCGCTTGACTCCTGCTTCTTCATAATGCTCTAGTTTCCTTTTAAGTTTAGTTGTCTTGTGGGCAACACTGCAGCTTGATGTCATTAAGTGGTTAAAGTGAGCTCAGAGTTTAATGTGATAATTTGAAAGTTTGTAAATACGTGCAAGAGGAGTAAACTTCAACACTGATTTACTGGAGTATGAGGTCTTAGATATCGGTGCCCACATAGAACTACATAAGCCATTTATCTTAAAGCATATATTCTTTAAGTTTAGGTTGACAGTTATAATAATTTCTGTCATTAGCAGCTTTGGTTTGGTACTCAGCCTAGTGTTGTCAGCCATATTGTACCTAATTGATACAAAATTGCTGAACATAGCAGCCAAAGTTTTCAGACCTACTGATGAACTTGTCCTTGGTGTACCTCAAAGCTACTACTATTTGCTCTCAAGGCCTTAAATTCAGTCAGTAGTTACTCATTTATTAAATTTAGAAGTTGTTGTGTGGAGTTTCTCAATTTTAAATGTTACTAGTGTCCTGAAGATCTGAGTAGACTTTGGGTATATTTTTTTCCTGTAGAAAAATTGCTGACAAAGCTGCCATGACTGCGGCTATATTGTACCATCATTTCTTATGCAGTTAGTTTGTAGCAGAATTTCTTCTCAAGTTTACAATACACAAAAGGCAATAAACCTAATTTATTTCTTCTGAGCTAAGCTTAGTTGTGAATATTTTGTTACAGCAAGCTGAGCAGCTAGGGAGAGAAGATCAACAGCGACTACATCGAAATCGAAAACTTGTACTCATGGTAGATCTGGACCAGACACTGATCCATACTACAGAACAGCACTGCCAACAAATGTCTAATAAGGTATGTATTTGGTGTTAACTTTCAAGCCAAAGTAACAACAGGAATAATTTGGACAGTATTTTAATGATGGTTCTTTAAGAAAACATTCTGTGGTTAGGTAAAATTGTAGTTGAAGAATAACAAAATGAGAATCAAGTCTTCTGAAATATGTTCCTCTTTTCTCTACATTTAAATTGGCAATTTTCTTTCTTCCACTTATGCTTTTCTGCACTTTTCCATTCCAGTCACTTTAAGCAAGAAGTTTCAGGTAGCTATTTTTAATCTGCTTTCCTTCCTCTAAAATTCACAAGCTCAGTACGCAGTAATGAGACTTTTTTCCCTTCGAGTCTGAGGCAGATACAGCGAACTACCATTTGAAGTCCTTATTTGGGGAATCCATGTGTGTTACAATGTCTGTCATGCCATGAATATGTCTAGTAATTTTTTTTTTCTTCAGTTTCATTTTTGGAGGGGAAGTTTGGTTGTTTAATTTCTTCATGAAACACTTGTCATTGAATTGATAGGGACTGTTGGCTTGTAACATTTCCAGTTTGGAAGCTTTGAAATAAGCACGTCGGGATGTATCTGCGGTGTCTTGTACAGGAGGATGCAAATTCAAATTCCATTGTCATGCAAACTGTAGTTGCTTAGTTCCTCTTTCTTTCCTCTTGCCATTCTTGCATATGCAGTAGGTTCAGCATGTGTTCACACCTGCTAGCAAAAAAACAAGCTGTAAATGTACTTTGCAATTGAGAGGAAACGGAGCAGTGAATATTCAGCTTAAGGGACTTTTTAACTGCAAACTTACTGATTTGCTACCTGATGGTATGTTTCCATAGACATAATACTTTTTCATCCATCAAAGTCTTTCTCTGAGCTCAATATGTACTAAAACTAATCTTAGAGAAGTTCACCAAGTACTGATTGGAGTGAGACCCTCAACTTGCTGAGAAATTTCTCAAGTTGCTTTTTTCAGATTGGTTTGCCGTAAGTAAAGGTTTGAATAAAAGTTACCTTGATCATAAACTTTTCAACAGTGCAGCTTCCTGCATTTGAAAAACTTAATGTTGGACTGCCTGGCACAGAGCAAAAATGTGCTTTGGATTTTATTCATCCACATAATCTTTGTGACTGAAACTTGCTTTAACCTAGTCAGACTGAATAAAAGTAGTGGAAGTGATGGAAGAGGGCACTTCTGGAATGCTGGCATTTTTGTTTGGTATTTTGATAATATGGAACATGCTTTTTTTTTCTAGGGAATATTTCATTTCCAGTTAGGTCGAGGTGAGCCTATGTTGCATACTCGTTTGCGTCCTCACTGTAAGGAATTCCTGGAAAAAATTGCCAAGCTGTATGAATTACATGTTTTTACTTTTGGCAGCAGACTGTATGCACATACAATTGCAGGTGAGTAGTATGTTGCCTTTATCAATATTGATGTAATCAGCCTTCATACTGATGTTAACTAGTTTTCTTTCTGCTGTTATCGAGTATTTGTTCTTTATTTTGTGCTCAAACACTTCCTAAATAGTCCTGTAAGCAGAATTCTTGGCTCCTTTACAAGGCAGTTCCTGTATGGCCTGTAATTTTAGAAATAATCCTTTTTTTCCCATCAGATATGCTTTTTTTGCCTCCCCGATGGCTAGAGAGCCAGATTGTAGCATGACAACTGGTGCCTTTCTGTTGAATTAAGTAAGGAAATATGCTGATGGGCTCTAAAAATTACCTGCAACATCACTTGTCTTAGAAATCTAAAGCAATAGTTCTATCAAAATCAACAACACAAAATTATCTCCTCCTGTGGGGAACACCCACCCCCCCATCGTTTCCATTCATCAATGGAAGTTTGGCTGCTATAAATCAATTTACAGCAGTTCTGTTTGTGTCCTGGAGCTGAGATGTGCTTATTTGAAGAAAACCACAGATCTAGCAGTATTTTCAAACATTCTTCTCAAGAACTCAGAAATATTTTTCTCATAGTTACTGAAAACTTGCATTTAAATCACAGCAATAGCAGTCTTTGGTGTGGGTCACTGGCTGAAATGTTTCTTTTTTCCAACAAGCATAAAAGAAATCTATCCTGTTCTGCAAGTGTATGGGTCAAATTAATGTTAGGAGTGTGACCATGTATTTAAACTGCAAAATTGTCTTTCACCCCATCTTGATTCTTCCTTGGCAGAATAGCATTTTCACCTCAGACTTTCCTTTAAGTCTGTTGGACTAAGATAATATAATTATCGATGTTTTAGATTATGATTCTACATGTCAAACTGTCCTTGCTCCTGTTCCGTGTCTCCTAGCTTTTAAGTTGTTTTTCACATCTGCTTTTTTTGTGTCACGTTGCCACGAGTGCCTTGAGCAATACTATCCCAATGATCAAACTTCTCGGCAAGAAAGGAAGATTCCAAAATAGTTAGAGAGCTAACTATCCTCGTTAGTTTAGATCAAAATTGTGTAATTAGAGAATTCTTTATGAATGTTAAATAAGCCACAGAAGATGCTTGTAATGACAAATATAAGAGACTTCTGTAATCAGAAAGTGAAACCAATTCGTGTTCTCCAACTAATTCTCCTTGAGAGAAAGTTCAAGAGAGGCATGTCCATTTACATCCAAGTGAATGCTTCTACATTACTCACTGTTTATTGGCTGAGTTGTGTGAAGAATCTTCCTAAAGCTTTGTCAGTCTCACTTTTGGGTTATTTATTGTGTACTGCTAATGCATTAACACTTTTGTACCCCGCTGTCCTTCTTAGAGTGTGATTATTTCTTGTGTAGCAAAAAGGGAACGGTTTTCTTCTACACTAGGTCTAAATACCTGGGAGTAAGAAAGTGGGTGGGCAGTCTTCCTCACGTGGATCTATGTGCCAAAATCTGCACATGACCTAAGGTCAGAAGAGGTATAGCAGATGTGCTTCAGAGCCAGGAAGAAGAATGAGTTGCAGAGGTAGCTAACTCTTGGTGGGCAAGTGCTTTCCCCGTGACTGATCTTCTCTCGAGGTGTAATTTGGTGCTGTGTTTACTGATTTTAATCTCTGAGGTAAAATTTGGATTACCCTCCAGTCCCTGTGCTGGCATAGGCTGAGACAATGTGACAAGCCTCTCTGTGGGCATCATACTTGAGCTGCTCCATCTAGTCCTTAGAGGACGTAGCCACCAAATGAGCAAATCAGGGTATTGCTGCTTCCTGGCATCCCCAGACTTCTGTTTGGTTTTTTGTTTTTGTTTTTTTTTCCTGAAGCTGCCTGGCCTCATCAAAAGCATTCAGACTACAAGTGGATGAATTGTACAGGGATGATGATAGTTTCAGCTGAAATATGTTGGTATGGAGAAAGAGTTGATGCAGCCTCTGGTCCACATACTCATCCGCGTAAGCACGATGCAGCAGGAGAGCCGTGCAGCTAATACATACAGAGAACGCTTGATGGCAGTGTTGGTTAAATGATTTCTCACAGAGGGCTGCCAGTTTGATATTGTACCGTTATCCCTATGTTACATAAGGAAGGACTTGTAATAAAATGCTGGAAATCTTTTTCATAAGAAAAAGGTTGTTTTCTTAGGTCCTCCATATACATCCTAGATTCCTTTTAAATCTGAACTCCGAACGGCTCCTTCCATGTCCTGGCAGGCTTTTTCATCATTTTGCAAACTGATGACATCTTGTCAGTGCTCTTCTCTCATTCTATTTGACTCCTATCAGCTGTTAAGTGGGATTAGCTGATATTTGTAAACACCATTTATGTCTGCTGAAGTCATTTATCCTAAACCTTTTCTTAGTCTGACACATTTACAAAGGGGTATCTTGTCGTACATTTATGAAGATGAGTTTGGGATTTTGTAAACTAGAGCTTCCTGTAGAATTTCTCTTCTACATAATTATTTTGACCAATTGCTATTTAGTTTTTTTTCCCGTACTCTGCATAAGAGAAGTTCAGTGTATTTAATGCTGAAGTCAGTTTAAATGCTGATTGTAAAAGTCAGTGCCGCTGCGAATTCTGAGTTCAGAGGCCACTAGGCAACAATAATGCAACGTGAAATCACTCTCAAGATTTACAGTAGAATTTAGAAAGTAGGACTAAATTGAGAGCATTCATAGGTATGGTTTGTTCCAGCAAGTATATTACTGTATGTAATTTCAATAAATAATTGACAGAATATGCGTGTATATGTAATCACCAGTGTCTGAAGGTCTCCAGTGCTATTGACAGACTGGCTCAACAGCTCTTTCCACGTTCTAAAGTAGGACCTGAAATAGAACTGGGGGTGACCTGATTCTTCAGAAATTCAATTTTAGATTCATTTTTAAAAGGACCTGGTCAAATTCATGTTGGATCCTGCTATAATACATCACTTCTTCTAGGAACAGCTATTTGACTCAATCTGTCTCTAAGGATTGAGACTTCCCAAAAGTTAGTTACTTTTGCACATTACATCTTGTGATGTTTTTTTAACTGAACGTGACAAGTCTTATTTACAAGTTTGCTTTTCTAAGAGAGTCTATATAAGGATCGGGTAACACAACTTGGTAAGGCTGTATGTGCAGAGACCCAGTCTGAGATACTGGAAAACAAACAACTGGGGGGAATAGTCTCTGCTAGGTAAGTCTGCTGAATAGTCCCTTGTAATATGGCAGTCAAAGGATAATGATAGTGGCTTTGGTTTGTTTAAGAAACTACTTGGAGGCGTACTTAGCACATTGTTTATGAGAATAAATGGAAGCTCAATTTTTATTTGAAACAGCAAGTCTTAGTTTTCAATCATTTTGACTTCTTTAAAAGGCTTTAATTTTTTTTAGACAGGATTACAAAATGAGAAATTCATCAACATTTATCCTTCTGCTTGAATGACTTGTGCAAACTGATACTACTCCAATAAAATAAAAACCCAAAACTGTTGAGAAAAAAATTCATTATCAACACTAAGGCAGAAAACTGTGACCATAATTGTTTTTCATGACATGATGGTGGGAAATGTATAGGAATAAATAATCAAATGAGGCTAAGTTAAGAGTACATCTTGGAAACATTTTCGCTGTTTCTGTATAATAGTTGATATGTAGATCTTTTCATCACTCTTGAGGTCATGGAAACTTGCAACAAAATGCTCCTATGGAAAGGTGACATCATCTAAACAGATGCTTTTTGGCCATCTGCACTGACTTTTCTTAAAGAAGTAGCCACCAGCATTTTGGAAGGTATCAATTTGAAACCTGCAGCCTCATTCTTAAACGCTGATATTCAAACAGTGTACTATCACAAAATTCTAAATCTTTCAATATGTAGATTGTGAAAAGATTTTTATTTTGAAGGTGGTAGAGTGGGGGGTTTCCCAGTTCTTTCTGTTAACGAAAACTGTATAATAAAGATTTTATTTTTTTTAATAAAGAAGTTAAATCTTAGCTTTCCTTAGTTTTGTCTTGGAGGCCGTATCTGCATCTACTTATTTTTAATGTAAAGTTTTTCTTCAGATTTATGTTTGATTTGCAGTCCTAAACCAATTAAAAGTTAATGTTCTAACTAACAGTATGTGATCTAGCTACTAGTCATCTTGTGTGCTCTTGCATGGTGTAGAATGGCTAAATAGGTTAGTGAACAGCCAGGACAGCCTTTTCAAAGGTTTAAAGACAATATTAACATACTATTGAAGAAAACAAATGATGTATGATGAATTAAATGTTATCTGCCATTTCCCTGAAAAGTGAAAACATCAGGATTCTGTCTGTTGTATAGATTCAATGGGCTAGGCAACATCCAAAAGAAACCAAATGGTTTAAGACCTCTAAAGAAGTTCTTTGCAATACTGGTGCTGTTTTCCCTCTTGCTATGCAAATAGCTTGGCTTTGAAAGACCTGACTCTTAAGACAGACTTCTATCTTTGTGGATGCATCTCTGGTGAGCTGTATCCTCAGTGTATTTTTAGGGAATTATCAAGGGGAAAAAAAAGTATTAAAATCAATAAGTCTTTACCAAAGCGTTATTGGAAAGCTCCAGAACACTACCTCACCTCTGATCCCCGGCAGCAAGGGTTTCTGTGTTTGGGCTTTTTTAGTTCAACTTCACTTTTCTTACAGTTTTAGGTAGACAACACTGCAACTGGAGCGCCTCGTTGTGGCTTTACCATTTAATCAGTGCACTCCTGTCCAGTATAGCATAGAGAGTCCCTGTGTATTCAGATAATTAGTAGAAGAGAATTTGCTTGGGGAGAACAAGAACTTGTATGACAGCTTATGTAGTTTGTCAAAGTATCTATGTGTACGGCAATAAATCTTTGTAGCTAATTCTCTCAATTCGTTGTGCCTAGGTACTGCAAGGGTCTCACTACAGGGGATGATTCTACGAGTTTGCAGCAATTCTTAAGCATAGTCGGGTGAGTTAAGGTTGAACCTCTGTCCTTAACTCGGAATTTTCTTGCTTTTATGGGTTTTAAGTTATTCCAATTACACATTAATATTAAACACATGCAGGATCAACTTTTCAGAAATGATGACTGAATTTTTAATTTTTTTTTTAATTTATACCCTCTGTTTTTTGAGGAGCCAACTTAGCATACTCCTGGGAACTGGACTTCTAAAAGGAGCTGAACATGTGTTCTGTGTAAATCTTAAAGCTCCTTGAAAGAGAATTAAAATTGGTCCTTAGAGTCTGTAGTAATTTTAAACTTTGGTTCTGGCTATAGGATGGCCACCATTTAAAATAAAATAAAGTAAAACCTTAAAAAATTGTTCCCAGATAAGTATTGTCTGTCTTGTATTATTAATGAGAATAACGAGAAGTTGATGCGAACTTCAATGCAAATTCAGTAAAACGTAAAATTCAAATTAGCGTGTAAAATGCCAGTTTCTTTCTAAGCAATTACATGTCTGTGATCTTCTCACAAAGATGAACTTCAGTATAGGAGACTAGGTTCAGAAGCATGTGCATGTGTGTTTGTACACCCAAGTCACCATTTTTCTAAGCAATAGCATTTTATCTTGCTTTAAGATCAGCTAGCACAGCTTCTCCTGTTTTGTTTTGTCTTTTTTTTTGTTAAACAGCGCAGTCAGAAAAGTTACTGCAACTGGGCCTAAATACTTCTAGGAATCCCAGGATATATTCATTATATATAAATGCATTAATAGTAGTTGTTGGAGGTACAACTTAAAACCTACAAATGCAAGAGCTCCGGCTGAAACTGTCCCTTAACCTTGCCCGTTGTGCTTAAGTATTGCAGCACACTGCCGACTCTTGTGAGACTTCTCTGCAGTCCCTAGGCATAATGAGCTAAGGAGAGCATTTAGCTTTAAAGAATCACCTGTAGAGAGATAAATGTAAGTTGCAAAAATCATGTGTATCTATCACCTGCTGTATCTCTTTCAGCCTAATTTATTCGGCTGTCACAAACTTAGTTATTTTTATTTCAATTTTGTTGCTATGTTGAAAGAAAATGAAATGGGATTTTTAAAATTAATCCCACTGCATTAATTGCAAATACCCGATCCACTGTGCTTACCCTTTCCCCCACGTAATCTCTTACCTTAAATTTGTCTGTTACTTAAACTGCTGTTGCACAGGTTAAAATAGAACGTGATTAAGGATCAAACATCTTGAACATTAACTTTTTAATTTCTTCTTTCAAAAGGATTTTTGGACCCTGAAAAGAAGCTCTTTTCCCATCGGATATTGTCAAGGGATGAATGTATCGATCCGTTTTCTAAAACTGGGAATCTTAGGTATGTATACGGATCCTGCGCATTAAACAAAACAGGACAACAAAGACACGGAATATGTTAAATATAATACAAATTAGTCCCTCTGTACTTGACATGTTTATAGTCCTTCTTTATCTGCCTCTTAAATATCAACACCGTCTTGATAAAACTGGCATGTCAGGCATTGCAGCATTTAGCCTACTTCGTCTACTTCATGTGTTCTGAGAACTAGAACAGTAAGACTGTGAAGGAGTGGAATCTTCTTATAACTTAACCATATTTCCACTTTAAGGCTTGTGATCTTGTGTAATGACTTGTATGTTGTGTGTTTTTTTTAATTAAACTAAAATTCTCAGTTTGAGGTTAATTCATATTTGAATATCTGGTATTCTGGCTTTCAGATGTGCTATACATCTAGCAGCATCTGTTCTCTAGTGTTTCTTGACATTAGGTTATCTAGAGCCTGATATTCTAGTCTAAATTCAGGTTCTGATCTTTTTCAGAGTATAAAGCTAAGATTTTTTTTCTGAAAGATATGTTTAGTATTTCATAAAGCTAGATTGAAATTTACTGCCCCCTCCCCATCTGACCACAGAAAATGAGAAGCTTTTTTTTTGTCTTGCTCTGTTCTCATATGCATGTGTGTATAAGTACTCTACCTCCTCCTCCTAGGTGATACAAGTATTAGTACTTGTTGCTTCCTTTGTGTTGATTTGAATGAGTCTGCTCTTTAAAAACTGTTCTTGTGTTTTTTTCCTGTATAGTGTATTGACCACATGAGAGTTGTGTTTGGCCTGTCTGTTGACATAAACAGTGAGAACTAGACCAAAATATAATGTTTTTATTCTTGTAGAGGTTTGTTGGTTCCTGCTTCTAGTCTCTGGAATAGAGGTTTTTAAATAGCCATTTCCATTTTTTTAACAACTTCAGTTAGTTCGAATATTGTATTTTGAGTGCTGTAATTTTAATATTACTGAATTTTTTTGGTAAGTTCATATATAAGCATGTCCTGCAGAGATGCTCATAATAAAGCACAACATCAACAGAAACTACTTTCATTTACAGTATTAATTTCTATAACTGATTAATTTTATCCTCTCTTTTGTCTCTTAGAGATCTCTTCCCATGTGGAGATTCCATGGTTTGCATCATTGATGATAGAGAGGATGTTTGGAAGTTTGCACCCAATTTGATAACTGTGAAGAAATATGTATACTTTCAGGGGATAGGAGATATTAATGCACCCCCTGGATCAAGAGAAATTCAAATGAAGAAGAAAGGTAATTCTATATTTTTTTAAACCGCTTTTACAACTTTTTCCACTTTGCAAATTGATGTAAGTCATTGTGGTGGTCCTACGAGTATTGCTGTTGTGCTCAGACAAGCAATCCTAGAGCGCTCCTGCAGCACAACTGCAGGTAGCTTAGACAGGGTGGCCTGTTCTCGCCGAGAGCTTTCCTTTGGGTGGGCGACTGCAGCGGGAGTGGAGTACTGGTAATAGCACTTTGGCTCTTACAGCTGGAGAGCTGATTTGGCAATACACCAAACTGTTCAAGAACATATAGAGGAGTCCAGTTTCTCTCCTCCCCCTCTATGGTAAAGCAATTTTTTCTTCTCTGTAAGTTTCTCCTTTTCAGTCCCCTTCCTTGCCCTACTTTGGAGCAATAGTTAATGAACTCCGGTCTCAACATACTGCCGAAAATTAATGTTTTGATCTCTGCTTACCTCTCTGCCTAAGTAATGCTAATAAAATCAGTGTGGGATTTTTAGCATCTACTAAATGTGGTGGTCTGGCATTTGACACGAGAACCTTGTGTTCAGCAGGCTCAGCAGTGTAATACAAGTAGTGGATTTAGAAGGTACACATCATTATATTAGCGTTGATTTGGGGGCAAAATGTCTTTGAAAGACAATGTCTAAGAAAGAATTGCAGGGCTTTTTCCCCTTTAGCCAAGGGGTTTTCTAAATTTAATATACGTGACATCATTCTTTTTCCCTTGTTGAACTAGAGGTGTCCAATATAGAAACAAAAATAATGTACTCAAACTGAATCAGACCACTATGACGCGGGACCTCTGCGTGTGACTGGTATTGTTGCTTGCAGGGCAGGGACATGCACACAAAAGAGAGACAAACTAGGGTGATTTCACCCTGCGTTCCTGATGAATGTCTGTGTGCAAATTTTTGGATGTCCGTAGTTTCTTTAATTGTCTCTGTTCTTCGGTGGATATCTGAAGATGTTTCCTAAAACTATTTTTCTGCCTTTGAAGCTATTGCCCTTTTACTTGCATTCCATCTGAGTCTCAAATGAACTGCAAACAGCATGTTTTTATTGCTAAAACATGTAGATCTTGTTAACTGTTAAAATACAGTTATTTTGGTTATGAAAAATAGGTAGTATATGAAAGCCATGGAAGTTCATAAAGGAAGTTCGTGTAGCTGTGGTTCTGGATTGGGATCTTCTGAAATGAATTCTATCCTTTCTTTATTTGTTTTTTCTTCTTTGATGTAGTTTCATTGCCTTGAGGTGTAGTCATAAAATTCATGCTACAAGATAAATCCTTTAATGTTTGAATAGTTAACAAATAATTACTTATGACTCCTGTGATTTAAAGCTGCTTACACAGCTTCTTTACGTGAGTAAAGTTTGCTGGGCTTGCCAGTTCTTTCTAGTAATCTTTTAAAGTATCTTAATAATTTTCAAAAGCCTAGTTGTCACTTTTTAAACAATTTTCAAAAGCCTAGTTGTCACTTTTAAACGTAGTGAAGTCTAACTGCGTACGTAAATTGTGTGTTTAAGGAAAAAATTAAGCTTAAAAAAACCCCCAAACCTGAGCAAATATGTATGTTTTGTTTCTTTTGTTTCTGTGTCTTAGTAAACCACTCTACAAAAACGGAGGCACTGGATTCAGCAGTGACATCAGCAAAAGATGCTGAAGAAATAAAGAATGTTACATGTGTAGAAGAACAAAGCAATGGTCTCAAGCAAGCTACAAAGGACACTTGCACTGCAAATGGAAGTACTTCTGTAAGCAGTGAAACATCTGACTGGGATATGAACCCTCGTGATAAAGTTAATGCCCAGGACTCCTTAAGTGATACCACTGATCACAAAATGGACAGTGAGGTCACTAATGATTTGACAAATACAAAAGAATCTCAGATTTTTTCGGAACAAGTCGATAGAACAGTGATAGAGAAGCAGCAAACCCAAGACAAGACAACAAATGACTTGGACTTTGAACTGTCTAGTGACAGTGAAAGCGATGGTGGATTGGATACCAGAAAGTCATCCACTTCTGTATCAGATAGTGAGAATGAGGAAAAGAGAAGCTGGAAGAAATCCAAACAACCTCTGCAGGATGAAAATTTGCAGAAGGGGAGTTGCAGTGATGTGAGTGAAAAAAAGGATGGTCTGGTGAACCATTCTGGGGACACGCAATCTCTACCTAGTGAAAATATTCATGACAAAACTGATCTTGAAGCACAAGAAGAAAGTGAACAGGAAAGCCTTTGTGATTTAGGAAACGGGTGTGCAGACAAGAAAGAAGCTGAAACAGAGTCTCAGAATAGTGAACAGTCTGGAATTACAATGGGTGAGTCCTTAGACCAGAGTATGGAGGAAGAAGAGGAGGAGGATGATACAGATGATGATGACCATTTAATATACCTCGAAGAGATTCTTGTGCGGGTTCACACTGATTATTACACAAAGTATGATAAATACCTGAAAAAAGAGATTGAGGAAATTCCAGACATCAGAAAAATAGTACCAGAACTGAAAAGTAAAGTACTGGCAGATGTAACCATAATATTTAGTGGACTCTACCCAACAAACTTCCCCATTGAGAAAACACGAGAACACTATCATGCCACAGCACTTGGAGCTAAAATTGTGAAGAATTTAGTACTGAGTGCTGATGATCCTGACAAAGCAACGCATCTCATTGCAGCAAGGACAGGTAGGTACATAAAACTCGAGTTTTCCATCAGCTTTTTTCCTCTTAAAGTTCATTCATGCCTTGAGCTGTTTGTTGTATAACCTACGGGCTTTAATGTAACTGAGACTAGAATTGAAATTAAAGGGAAGATTCTTCTAAAACAATTTAGAAGTCTTGTTTGAAAGGCTTTTTTTTTTTTTTGCTTCTTTTTGATCAAGTGTGGCTTTTAACTGTTAAAAGGCAGACCCACTAAATAACCTCTGATGTAAATGTCATGTCTCACTTCTTGGGTAAGAATTAGTGATGCTGAGTCTTTGACTATTAAAGATGTTGAATAGAAACTTTAACATTTGTGTCAGAGAAAGGTTTATAGTGGTCTTGCTATAAAGTTACATCAATGCTTTCTTTCTAGGTTTCTCAGATTTCGCCTCTCATGATTCAGTTTCACTGTGTATGGAATTCAAATGAATTATCTTAAGAGACTGGAATCTGATGATACCCTGTCACTGCTCTGTGTGTAGCCTGTATATCTTTATCATGGGAGATGTAAGAGAGCTTAGCCTAACTGTTGGTGTGTCTTACAGAAAGCTACCTGGTTTTATATAGCTATGAGGGATAGGAATGTGCTGTTGATTGTCTGCCATAGAGGAGCTCACAGGCCACCACAAGCTTCTAGTACTAATTTTTTGTGTGCACCCTGACCCTTGGTTCCCTCATTGTTGGCCTTTTGAAGTTGCGTGGAATCTAAATATCTGGTAATCAAAACTGTGAAACCAAAAGCAGAACTGCATGGTGTAGATTGTGTAAAACTTGTAGGTAGCTTTAGGACATCTTTAAATGTCATAAGCAAAGAAATGCACATCTGCTACCTTATTGGATTATTTTTGCTTGACTGTTGTTTGTGTAAGCTTTTATGTAAGCTTTCAGTACTTCAGAAGCAGCTTTGTTACAACAGCTTGTATTATAAAAGAACAGTGTGTTTTCACTGGCTGTAATGTAGATATGTATACTTTTCTCGAAGCGTGTGTGACTTAAGAAAGGGAATAAGACATTTCTTACACAGCTGACCCAGAGTCATTTCTTCCTATCAAGAAGGCAGTGATTTAAAAAAGTCCAGAGTTTAGTGACCAAAAGGGGAATCTTGTAGTTCCTTAATTTCTACCCCTTTAAATATGAGTAGTATTAAAAATCTGTGGATTAAACCCAGCCAGTTAATCAGTATACTGTGATAGGTGATTCGGCTATTTTTTTTTATATATTGGCCTAAATAACAATAAGGCTGTAGATTTGCTAAGCTAGTGTAAACTTACCTCACTTTCCAGTTATCTCAGTGTACAGTTCCAGTGGCAGAAAGCACGGGTAGCTTTTAATAAAAAGTTGGTAAGGCCAGCTGTAGCAAAAAGCAGCTGCAGTACTGATTTAGTCAAGTGGCATTGGAATAAAAACTGTACCAATGGACCTGAAGTAAAGTGGCAAGTTTGTATTAATTGTCCTGATGTACATATGCATTTAAGTAGTAGAAACAAGCTAAAAACCAACAGAGACTGGAATTAGTTTCATTGAAGTTAGCTGGTTTTCTGATTTGTGAAGGTGTGATAATTGATATAGTGAATGGAAAGTGTTAAAATCAGTGGATGCATCAGTTTGGTACTATAGTTTTACTATAGTTGTTGAACAGCTCTTTTAAAACTGCAGGAATAGTCATACTCAGCAAAGAATTACACAAGTTTGTCATGCTTCATTGGTGATGTGATAGCTGTCAATATAACTTCCAAGTTTTTCCACTTTCAAATCCAAAAATGCTTCATTTCAGAGTTGCATTGTCTAACTTGCACTAGATGACTTCTGAATGCAGTTGTACATTGGATGCAACTGTTGTGTGATACGGTAAAATTAATAGGATAAATGTAAATGATACTCAAACATATGCATTTCTCTGGAGGAGAAAATGTTGAATAAGATTATGTTAAGGTACGCAGCTTGTGATAATAAGCTGTTGAGGTTTTGGGGTTTTTTTTTTGCTTCTTTTTGGAATGTACAGTTTGAGGGGGGTTATATGTTATATAGATACATATACACATCCTCGTGTTCTATGTTTATAAGCAAATTCTTCACCATCTGCACATTTTTCTTGAATCCTTCACTAATGTAGATCTTGATATGAAAAACTATTTTAACTTTAGGTTTTGATTACATTACATTAGTGTGCTTTTACAGTATCTGAATTGAGTTTGTTAACACATTTTGAATTAATTTTCAGTGTTCTTTTGAAAAGTAAATAAATTTCAGGGTGGTTCATATTTTTCAGACTTTTTTTGTCAATACCTAGACTCTCCTTCAAAAAGTCATGTAATGTTGGTGTTGTGCTCCATACATAAAATATATTCAAATATTGCCTGATAATTAAGAAGTCACAAGAATGCAATTTCTGAATTGCTGGAATGAAAAACTCTTGTCAGTATGTAGAAGCTGATCCCTGCTTTTAGTAAGAAAAGGCTTGCACTAATTCTAAAAGGGCAACGTGGCAGTCTTTTCTGCCTAACGAGCAAGACTATTCTCATCTTTCATCATCACTTAGTAATTATTTCTATAACAGTGGCAGTGAAATAGGTGGATTTAGAGGAGAAAACCTATTCTCCAGTAACCCTATTGTGAAATTCTCATGGATTGCTTATGGTTCTGGTTTTGTCATGGGTTTTTGTTTTTTTCTGCTGAAGACTGAATTTTCTCACTGCTGGTTAGATGGGAGAGCAGTTATGCTGCAGCATCCTAATTTCATGAGGGAAACTCCAGTTTAATCTGAGATTTTAAGGATATAAATTGTGTCCTGTCACAGCTGGATTTGTGATAATTCAGCTGTCAACATGATTTTCATACTGATTCTCATGTGGTTAGAAAGCAAATTCTACAAGTCTATTACTGCTGGTAAGGCATACAAATACTGCATCTCTGGCTTCTGTGGCAAACACCTGAAGCACTGCTTGATGTCTGATCGCTGGTGAAAGGGGGGGAACAAAAGCATGTCCCTTCTTGAATTTTATTCAGAAGTCAATGAGCTGAGACCAGATAACGTTGTTCTACTTTTTTTTTTTTTTTTTTTAATGTATTTGTTAAAAGGTAATTTTAACAGGTACCTGCCAGGTCAGTGTTTCTGTAACAATGGCAGATTTAGGACTCGGACAAACAAGTTAACTTACATCTTTACTTTACATTAGCTGACCTGCAGTAAATGACATATACGCTGTCTGAAACAGTGGTAGGGGTAAATACTGCTAGCTTTTGAGTTTTGAAGACAGAGGCAGAATTTGTCAGAGGAAATTAAAAGGGAAGAAGTCAATGTGAAACAGAATGGTCCCTAGATCTGGGGTGATCGGTTTTCCCCCTGCAAAGTGACCATGTCATAGCTTGGTGCATGGAATGAACAAATACTGAATACCATTTTAGATTGTATTTATAGCATCCTTGCCAGCCTACTGCAGTAAATAATTTAAATTTATTGTATATGCTCATCTCATTCTCTGCAGGTAGGCGGCTTATTTCTCTGCAGACAGACTGAATTCTGAAAATAAATCCTTGTTCTTGGAGAAAATTAAATTTTTTTTTTTATTATTATATAGGGAGGAAGATACTATTTACCTGAATTACTGTAAAACACAAGTATCTTTGTATCTGAGTGACTGAGAAAAGGCTACCATATAGTCCTTTCCACTTACCTATGGGCTGTGTATATCATACTTCAGTTTTTGAAGCATCTGCTGTTTGCTTTAAGTAACAGTAAACTGCAGTGGATGATGAGTTGTTATAGCTGTGTACACAGTAGGTTAAGCAGTTAACACGCTATTTCATAAACCTTGTTATGTTCCTTCCTGAACAGATGAATGATACTATAGTTGATCTTTGTATCGAGTTTTTGCTGGTGGAGCAGATAAAGCTGTTCAGGTCACTTAAAAATTATTCTGGTGGGGTAGGAGCAGAAATGTGTCAGTTTAGACCCAGAGTTTTTCTTTTCTTTTTCAAAACAGATTTAATTCTGTGTTTTTTCCTATACTTTGAAAGCTATATGGGAATAGTTTCCTTACTTTTGGTGACTTAGCCTATGTCAAGGTTTGCTTAATAGCATTAAATATCAGGTTGCTTAAAAAATGCCAGTTGTATCATGGCTCCTTTTATTCATCCTCATCTACTTTAAAAATGCTTACTCCTGCGTCTGGCTTCCAGATACTGAGAGGGGAGAGAAAGCCGCCAGCTGATAAAGTCTTGTTAGCCTGTCCTGTGACTCGGTGAGAGGTCTTTACCAGGCGTAGCTATGGTATGTCCACAGGGTTTTTTTTTTTCCAAATAATATTTTCAAGGGCCATGTCTTCAAAAAAAAAAAAAAAAAACAAAAACAAACACAAACAAACAAACAAAAAAAAAAAACAGTTAAGAACTGCTCTAAATTTGGGCGCTGACCAGGTAAGCCTGTTGCTTTTGCTGGTAAAGCCCATGGTGGTGTTGAAGCTGAACCCTAGGCATAGCCTCCAAACAGCACATTTATCAATATTTCATGATCACTCAATTCTTGTAGGACAGAACATTGAGATCCGTACAACTTGGTTTAGGTTAACATTGTTGAAGAGCTTCAGGACTTGATGGTAAGTCAAGATTTCTATATAGAAACAGTCTGAAGAGAAATAAACTTTTAGTGATCCGATTTTCCAGGCCATGTCTGGCAGCGTGGTTACGAACTGCCGGAAGGGTATGTTGGCTTCGATGTGCTGGAGTTGGGAGAGTGTCTTGAGAGTGACTCTGGTCGCTCCCCATCGTGTGCTGCAGTTGGCCCCTGGCACAGCCTCGAGCATGAGCGCCGGGTTCCTCGGGGGGGAGGTTGAACTGGAGGGCACAGTCAGCCGAGTGCCCGCAGGACCAGGCAGGGCTGATCCAAAGCAAATCTCCCTGAAATGCGTCTGGGGTGGGTATCACTCCTCCAGCACCCTTTTGCCCCGCAGATCTCCCTGCTGGGCTGCAATACGTGGGAATGTGAACATAGCCAAATATGCAATATAACATTTCTTCTCAGTCTTTGTAAACAATACAGCTTAGGTCTTATTTCTCAGTGTTGCTTAAGTGCCTCACGTGCTCCATACTGTGGGTAAAACAAAATATACTGCTGCAGTGGAACTGTATGTTCTGAAAAACAGTGTAGAAGTTTATTGTTGCGTTACTGATTTTGTTCACTTTTTTAGTAACAAGTTGTCAAGACTAATAGGAGGCTTTTTTGAGTTTTCAGTCTTTGTTTGCAAGTTCAAAAGTAGAATTGACGAGTCTCTGCCCCAGGTTTGAAAATAACCTTTTCACAGTATCACATGCTCCAGGCTGCATCCATTAGAGGATAGATGTGATGAATTTGGGCCCTAGCTGCTTCATATGGAAAGGCTTGTGTGCCTTTTTAGCTTCAGGGCACAATTTTAGACTAGAATTTGAAGTAGGGAGAAATTATTAGAGGAGAATAATTGAAAGTAGTCCAGAAAAACAGTTTTTCTCAAAGTGATTTTTAGCCCGGCTGGATGATTTGTGTGTTCCTAACTGCATCAGTAGTGCTGTTGCTTGGATGGATTAAAGTCCTTTCTGCTGTTTCTTCTTAATAAGCATACTTCCAGAAAGGGAAATTATGCTGCGGAAAGGGAGAGGAAAGGGGATATTAAGTATTGCAGTACTAGTCTTCCTAGCCAGTTAGATTTGGTGTTCCACCAAGTCTTGCTTTAAGAGCATCATACATGTAAGATCTTGATTTGTGAAGATGTCAACTGAAAATAGAAGGCAGCCCCCAGATGTCACGGTTGTATTACCTCCTGCGGTTTTCAGTGTGCTGGAGCGTGCAGTCGGCAGCTGCGCTTTAGAAACGGGGAGGAAGCAGAAACCCGTGGTGTGGCAGGGGTGAGAAAGGTAAGGATTCTGACCCTCGGGGGGGGGGTTTGGTTACACACCGGTCTTCATCTCGCCAACTTTAATTGGATGTTAATGGCTTACACCTTTTGGAGCTATTGTTTCAGAACTGTAAGAGTTTCAAACAAAATAATGCCATTTTAGCTTTCATGTTTAAAGGCTTCCATTGCCATCCTGTTGGCTAGAAGAATTTACTGAGCTCCTCATTGTATGTCCAGTATGAAATGATCAGATACACGTGAGTGCAGAATGTGTCTGTGTGTGCAACGGGCACCTGACAAATCATTAATGCAGAAACATCAGTTTTAAAAATAGTTGGAGGAAGCCACCTTCTCGCATAACTTCACAGATTTAACATGAGGTGAAGGTGCAGTTTTATGGTTTTGCTCAGGTTTCCCCCTGATGAAGTCCAAAAGGAGCAGCAGTATCTTCAGTTAGGCGAATGGGTGCACTTCAGTGTCAGATAAGCTTTTCTTCAGGGTATCGTAAGCACAGTCTGTCTATCCAGTAGCACCACTGGTGCTGGTTAACTGTTCTTTATGCTTACTAGTGCAATCACATCCTATTACGTGTTGTATTCAGTCAGCTCCAGAGTTGTTCTGTGCAGGACAATATTGCTAGTCATGTCTGACATTTGATTCGTTACCCAGTGCCAGGCACAAGTACCTCAACTCCCAATGGACTTCTTGCTCTTGTTGCTTTTTCCCCTGAAACTCCTGTGCCTGTGAACCTGATTTCAGCATCCTCTTTATAACAGCTGTCTTCTTACCTCTTTGTTATTATGTTGTTGATGCTTTTCTCCTTTATTCTCAAAAGAAAGCATTTTCCACACCAAGCCTTCTTTCACTTTTTCTAATGCTTTTACCCCTATGTCTTTTAATCTAATTCTCCTTCAGAACCTCTGTGTTCTTTCCTCTGTAACATACCCCGTGTATAAGTTAAATATAGCTTTATACTTACCTGTTTCTAACTGCAGGTTTTCCACAATTCCTGCTGAGGTTATATAAATAATAATACCTCCTGTGGAAGCTTCCCTGGCACTGTCAACTGGCATAAAAGCACTCTGGGTTGCTGATTACTTTCGTAACTGGTGATTAATTGGAAAACAGATTTCTTGTATCGGGGTTGAATGATCTGGGTGCACTGACCTCCCTTAGAGTTTTGCTGTTTAGCCAGTTAAAACCTCTTGTACTGCAAAGGTGTCCTGGGATTAACAAGATTGGAGTTCTACAGTTGTTCTCATTGAGTCTTTGTTGGACACTGGGTTTATTTTTATTTCATAGCAAAATTTAAAATAGAGCATTTCTAAAGAATTTTGGGAAGGACTTTCTCTTTAAATACTCATTTTTGTGTTTGTGTTGGATTATTAAATTAATGCTTTTTTATTACAAATATACTCGTGTGGAGAAAAGCTTTATATTTACCGTAAGGCTTTTAAATCCTGAACTGTGAAATTGCTTGCATTTGCTGCTGAAAATAGAAGAAATGTATCGTGCACAGAACATATTTTTTCTTAATCTAAATCCAAGAAAAAAATGTATCTGAAGACAGAGGAAAAGGTAGCTCTACTCCCGTATTCTGTTGTGTTTGGGAAAAGTAGGGAAACAGAAGGTTTTCAGCACTTTGGTAAAGGACAGTGACCGCCTGTCCTTTCTGTTTATTTAGGCTTTTGAATTTACAGAAGTCTATAAATTTAACTGTCTAACTAGTTAGGTCAGTCCTCAAGTGCATTTCAGTTGATCAGTCTACCCCAGGAGATTCTAGTTCAGGTTGTATACAGGCCTTTAGGTATTTGCTATTAAATGTTTCCTCTCATCTTCAAATGATAGGGAGAAGTATGGGTACTTCAAGACTTTCATCTTAATAGAAACAAGTCCAGTCATGTTGTTAAATGACAGTCTTGCAGACTAAAACTCCAAGGAACTATGCTGAAACCATTGAATTACTTTACTGTTCTTGCTTCCTTCTCAGAATTGTTCTGAAATTCTTTTTTTTTTTTTTTTTTTTTTTTTTTTTTTTTTTCCTGGAGGCTTTATTCCTGAAGGCATATGTGTGAAAATAGACAAGGGGTCATAAATTTGCACTTTTTTTAATTTTGAAAAAAAATTATTTACTTAGATTTTTTTCTTTTCTTTTTTCTCCTCCTTCCTTCTTTTTTTTTCTTCTCCTTCCTTTAATAAGATAACTAGACTGGAGTCTTGTGTTTTTAAATAAGCATTTGCAGGAAGAAACCCCATGGTCTTTGTGCAGAATTAACAGACTTCATCAGGAGTAGCTGGTCTTTGAACTGATGTATTCTTCACCTTCAGTTCTGAGAGCTTTAACCTAGAGAAGAGGCTGAAGTTGTTAATTGAATTTCTGCCGTTAGTTCTTGATGGCCTCCATGTATTTTGCATTTCTAAATAAAAAATGTAGTGCAATATCTTTGCACCAAGACAGAATAGGGACAAATGATTAGGTTTGATAAGCATTTTAAATAATGTGTAAATACGATTAAATGCTATACGTTATAGGGATATAAGAAAAGGGAAGAGCGATGGCTTTTGGCTGTGAGACAGACCATCAGATTGATGACAGTTCCTTTGTCACATTCCAGCTACACCAGTATTTGTGCAGTGTAAAAATACCATGTGTATGTGTCAAGCATAGATATATCAAGTTAGAATCCTTGGGGGTTTTCTCTATAGAGTATATATTTAATGATTTTGTGGCAGATTATACAATTTTGTGTTGTCTCCGAGTGTTCAGTCCCTCCGCAGATCTCTTTGGTAAATGCTGAAACAAGCACCATGATTGGCCATACTAATTTTTCCAGTCGAATAAAAGAAATACATTCTTGAAACATTGGGACAGTCAGCTGTTTCTGGGAACAGAGTACACTTCAAGTTTCATTTCAACCTTAATTTCATTTGCTTCTTTTTGCTTGCTGGTTTTGATGCTTCTTGGCAGAGATTTATAGCAACTTTACTGAGTTTCTTTCTTGCTCTGGCTTCTCCAGAGGGTGGAATTCGAGATCACCTGTGACTTGCATGCTGTGTGTTGATGGTTTCATGTGCACTTTGTGCTAGCCTGCCACGTTTAAGATCGCATTTGTTGTTCCCCTTTGGCACAAAATAATCCATTTGTCTGCTTTGACCCCGCTTCAGGCAAATGGAGGTTGGCTGTTAAAAGGTAGCATACTGTGTCTACAGGGGACTGTGCATAAGAAAGTAGGATACATTAGTGTTAGGCTTTAACAGTATTGAAGAATCGCTGCTGCTTAGACTCTGACAAATAAAAATGCAGGAGATGAAATACAAAAGTGCATTTGTATTGTTTGTTCAGTTAACATGGAAATGTAGAGGTTTTCAGTATGGATTAATTTTTGTGGACTACTTCCACAGTGCCAGTGCTTCAGGAGGTTACAAATTCCTTCATCCAGCTCGAGACTGAGGTCATGGCATCTTATTTAGCCTCACTTTTATCACTTCTGATTGTTTTGTTGGACGGGGGTGTTTGTTTCTTCTGTAAGATTGATCACAAAATGTTCCTCTTAAACCACTGTGCACTGCAAACGATCTCCTGTGTTTCTGGGAACACTGTAACGTCGTGTTTGACCTCGTAACAGGCACAGAAAAAGTACGGCAAGCTCAGGACTGCAAGGACCTCCATGTTGTAAACCCTGATTGGCTGTGGAGCTGCTTGGAGCGCTGGGACAAGGTTGAGGAACAGCTCTTTCCCTTGAAGGATGACTACATCAAAACACACAGGTAAGTGGGAACTTGGGGGAATAAGGGCCATTAAATAGGTTATTTATACAATTATGTCAATTTGTTAATTCGGCTATCAGATCTGTTTCTTACAAATGCAGAATGGTGTGCAATGCTACAGATTTTATGAAAGAACCCATCCATTTCTATGCTGCTTAAACTGAAGACCGTTAAAGGATCTGGAGGCAGTTCAGCAGCTAGCAGGATCAGGAGAACCCTGTGTTACCGGTATAGTTTCTCTAGCAGTTGTTAAGCCATTTTCAGCTGGAGCAGTTGACCTTGTCAGTTCATCCACAGATTTAACATGGGCAACGCCACAAAGGCACAGGATCATTCATGCTGCCCAACGCAGGAAAAAGCGCATACACTCCCACAACGTGAAAAAATGGTAAAGTTCGGCACTTTTTTTCTGAGACTCGGTAGTGAGGAGGAAAGGGGAAACAGAAAAATACAGCACAAAAATCTAAGAGGTGTTGGAAGGCACGAAGACAGAAGCAAAAACTGGAAGAAAGGAAGTCATGAGAGGGGGTTTTGGGACGATAAGAAAAAGTGGTGAGAGAGAAGGGGGTAAAAATAATCGGTGCACTAAGTTGATAGCAAATAGAAGGGACAGCTAAAAACTTTATTAACACCAAGGAAGTCATAGGTCTATTAAGAACAGTCCCCTTTAGGAAGGTGCCATGGCTAAAATAACTCATGACAAGATACTGTAGAGCCAGCTGCTTCTTCTTGACTTGTGAGTCTGTCCACATAACATTAATAGTGATTAGTCTTGCCAGCCTAATGGGGGACCTTCCCTTCAATGTTTAAAAAGGAAGGGGCATAGCATATTAGGTTTTCTATGCGAAACAAACTGGTGTGATTGAGTAAGATAAAAATCTGCTTTCTGCTTAGAAGACACTAGCCCTTTGAGGGCAGAATGTAGATGTTTAAGTCCCCATATACTCCAGAGATACCAAAAGTAGAAACATCTGGGAGTGAGGTCACTTGCCACATGGGAGACTAGGTAGAGACCCAGGATCCCTAAAATTTAGGAGAGAGATGTAGCCTATTTATGACTTGACTAGAATTCTTTGTTTTTAAAATGTGCTATCGGATTGGGGTTTTTTCATCAAACTTTGGAATGTTTGTACAGGTTGCATAATTTGTCTCAGAGGCATGAGACTGCCAATTTCTCAATAGAAATCTGGACAGTGACTTGTAAACATAATTTTTTTGATGTCTAGATGAATGTTAGTCTTCTTACCCATCTCCCTTTACTCATCCATTTTATTGGAACATGATGATAATTTTCCTACTTCTGTGTTTCAAATACAGTACACCTTAACTTCTTACTTTTACCCCTCCCCCAAACTTCAGCCAGTAAGACATCTGTCTTAATGCAAATACTTTTATTAATCCAACATGTGCAACTTCTTTTGAAAAAAATTTTTTCCTTAATGAAGCTGCTTGAAATAGTGATTACTGGTCCAAAGCACTTATGAAGTAGGGGAGGGATGAACTCTGAGAAAGTATTTGCATATAAAATGAGCTTCAGAATAGCAAAAAAGAATAAGTAAACTTGGAATTGGTTGACCTTAAGTATTGATGCTGCAGGATTACTTCAGAAATGTCCATGAAGGCATATGGTAAAAACTCTAGTTTTGTGGCACTTCTAATATTTGTTACAATATAATTTAATTGTTTTTTTCTACAGCGTTGGTTTCATGGTGCTTAACCTGCTGTTTTATTTGATGGTTTGGGTTTTTTTTTTTCAACGATTCAATTTGCTTCCTCTTTTTTGTGGCACTTCATCATAATTGGACAGTATTCCGTAAAGGTGATGCCTGCAGACTGATCTCTGAATGTTCCTGCTGTTGCTTCTAAAATAATGTTTTAAAATGCAGCAGGGAGACCATAGGCAGCTTAGTATTTTAGCAGGCTAGTGCGTTTATTTTCTCAGAATATTTGGAGAATAAATAATAAGATCTGATACAATAGCATGCTTTTCTCTTTGTTGCATATATGCAGATTGTCATGCTACTCTAACTGCAGTTGTTACTACTTGGAAGCAATTTCAGTAACTTTGTGTTAAGACAATTTTTAAGGCACATTTAATTTTTTAATGATGTAAATATGATGTTATATATGTATCTGCATTTTTCTGTTTTAAATTCAGTGATACTTTAATGGGGGTGGAGGAGATCAAATGTTTCTTCAGAAATCTTCCAAACCTTCCTCCCTTTCTCCCACCCTGCCCCCCCCCCCGCTTTCTCCTTTAGAAAAAAGGAATGCTCATTTTTTTTCATTCTAGTTAGATAAGTCATTTAAATTTGTAAAGCAGTTTTTTCTGAACTTCATCCAACAGAGAGAATAGCCCTGCCATGTTTCCCGATACACACAGCACGTTTCAGACAGCTCTGTTTCACCCAACACCCATTCATCCAAAGTCTCAACCCGGTCCTGAAATTCGACTTTACGATCCTAACACTGGAAAGCTAATCAGGAAAGGCGCTCAGACCTCTGGCCAGTCGATGTACATCCAGTCTCCAGCTCCTCCCATCACCTTACCAGTCCACGGCGAACACTCGTCCTTCAGGTACCTAAAGCATAGCTAAGAGTCCCTTCCAACCCCGTTTTCAGATGCTGTAGTAAATTTAACTCTTGTTATCTTTGCATTTGATCAAATTGTCATCTTTGCTTTAGTTACTTTGTTTGCTTTCTAAAAAGCCACGGAAATAGTCAGCTGAAGTGAAATCAGGATGCTAGAATTCCAGATGCTTTTTGTGCCTCCTCTAAGTGCGACTAGAAACCTCAAAGCAAATAAATGAAATGTGTAGTTTGTGCACTCTAAAGAATGTTAGAATAACTCATCTCTGAAGCGAGGCAGCCTGCTTTTTAATGAGTCTTAGAATACTGGCTTGCTTTTTGGTCTATAAAATATATCTGATACCATTTGGCTTTTGTTTATAAAATGTTCCTCTTCACCTAATTCCTTCAGATGGGAGATTAGCTTTGTGCTTTGTTTTGAGACATTAGCTTTGTGTTTTGTTTTGACAAATATCAAAATTGGTGGAAAAGGAGTGTAGCTAACTATTATTAAATAAGGCCATATGACTGAGTGCTAGTTAATAATCTTGAGATCACTAAATCAAGACACTAAGGCAGCAGGAGGAGGAGGCGGCCTGCTTTTTGAAGTACAAAGGCTAGCATCTGGACTTTGTCAAAATTTGTGGATTTGATTAAACTACAATGACAACACTTGTCTCTTAGGGATGTATAAAATACCTAAAATTCATCCCTAAGTATCTACGTAAAAGATCTAACTTTCTAGAATGCTAACAGGTTTAGTAAGGCTTGTTGACTCAGTGGTAAAAAAGGCAAAGCTTTTCTCTTTATAAAACGTGATCAAAATTCCTTTGTACAATGTGATCAGAGTATAGCAGTTGTTATAAAGCAATTCAGTTTTCCAAACAATTACAAAAATGCAAAGCACAATTACAAATGTACACAGTTTTTCTACCTTTCTTCTCCCTCCCCTGCCACTTTTGCACTGTATCACTTGTAAAGGTTTTGTATGTTAGTGTAGCTTGTTATGTTTCCACTCTGTCTTCCTGTTGCTAAATTATTTCAACCTATGTTTTTTTCAGTTGTCATCTTTTTATAGGCTTTTTCTTATTTCAGCTTCCTTGTTTCTGTCAATACAAGTTTTCTGAGTCTCTCTTGTTTATGAAGACATCTTGTTTTCAGTTCCTTTTTAACTGTGTCTCTAAAGTCTGTATTTTACTATGACACATTAAATGAACAGGAAAAGCTTTCAATAACCAAGGCGCATCATGTATCCAGAGAGGAGCTGAAAAGCTTTTGGTTTTGTTTGTCAGTTATTGTGGAAAAGAATTTGTCTAGAAATAGAGCTGTGACGGTTGTACATGTATACAAGTGTCATGACACTTCTAAGATGCTTCAGTATGATGGTTTATGTTGATATCAATGCATCATTCCATGCTTTAAAAATAGGGTTTGATGTTTGTTCTGCTTTTGTCAACAACTTAATGAAGAGTTTTGTCCACACCTAAGCCTATTTTTCTTTGATGCAGAGGTGCTTCTTCACTTGGAACATCTCATGGAAAAAGAGAGGAATATATTCAGATGTCCTCTTAGTTGCATTTCTCAGAGCTCCAGACAGATTTTGGGAGTGGAGCAAGACTGTATCTCCTTCCTACTGCCTTACTTTATTTCACTTAAGCATTTTTTTGACTATCAGTGCTCAGGGTTGAGATGCTTTAATCTAAGAAAGTCAGTCCAATTACTCAGTGCTGCAACTTCACCTCATAACTAAGCAACTGTAAGAAGAGATCAGCATAAGATATATGCAGGGATATAGTATTTTCATCATCGTTTCCTGTTGATTTGGTTCTAGTGGTAAAATTAGTCAACTGTAAACACAGATCTCTTAGTTGGGGCATGTCTGTATTCCTCAGAGCAGTTCCACCATCTTCAAGAAGGTGAGGAGTGTCTTGGTAAACTCTAGGAGATAAGCAGTGATCAAATACCACTTTAAGTACTTTTAATGGATAGGAAGTACAGTGCAGGCAGAGCACAAAGGCTGTAAAGAAGTAACAAATTGCCAAATAGGAAAAGCTTTGCTGTGTTTTGACTGAGTAAGAGCTAAGGCAGAAGTAGTGTATTGTCATCTTGCTTTGTCTTAATGCATACATCAGTGATATATTTTAAATGTTTGGGTTTGTTTGTTTTTTTTTAAATATTCACATCCAATTTAAAAATCGATGTGATACTTGACTTTAGAGAAAATTACTTTAGTGCAGCAATTGCTTGGTAGAGGGCATTTTGGTAGAGGTATTTTGTGTCCTGGCAGACTTCATGTGCTCGTATGTTCACCTCCTACAGAAAGATGAGAGTATTTGTAACTAAGCCACTGAATTTAAGCAGAGTTTGATGAGGCTGTCGATGCTTGCCACTGCTCCTGTTGTGGATGGATGTAGTCAAAGCCTCTGATAATCTTCTTTGGTAATTTCTAAAAACTTCATCTGATTCTGAATTTCAGACAGTAGGCAACAAAAGTGCACTGGTAGGAGAAGAAACCCGTGGGGAGATGATAGTTGCATGAGGCATAGCAATGGTACTCAGTCTCTCACTGTAAGAGTAGACCTCGTGCTCTGGAAGATAACTTCTTACAAGACTCGTTACTGAGAAGGGCTTCAAGTTCTCCCAGTATCATTTTATAAGAACTGTTTCAGTTCTTACCTTTTTTTCTTTTGGGTTCAACATTTTTAGTTTCTTTCTGTGGTTCAGCACGAAACATAATTTAAAATCGGACATGAATAATTATCCGCAGGCAATTTACAGTGAAACCGTCACCCGTGAGTCACAGCTGGTTCAGATAACTCAGTCGACGTTCCGTGCGGCAGGCACAGATCTCGCTATCGTGCTCGGCCCTGTGCGACTCGAACGCCTGCTTTTTGTCGTGGCTGTTGTGGCCTGAGCAGGAGGGTGGGAAGGGAAGGAAGGGAATGCCGTGCTGCTCGGTGGCTGCTGGTAGGAGCCTCTTCCCTGCCTGAGAACAGGAAGGATTCCTTGTTAAAAATAACCTACGTGTCAGAGCTTTGACACTCGGTAGGCATCTCAATGGTTTGCATTTTCATAGGGAGACAGTATTCTAGAAACATTACAGTACACACTGAAGCTGAAACGGGTCATGAGATGGGTAATGGAGCGTTGTCCAAAAAAATGCAAATGCTAATTGCATTTTGGAGTAGAATAAAATAAAAGCAATAGTACAGGTAAAATTCTGTTGAACTCTGAACATACACTAACAGATGAGGCAAGGCTTAAAATATGGGTATAATTTCCACATGAGAAGTTAAAAGTGGCACTCTGGTATTATGTAATGCTAAGATGCACCAAATATTTGATTTGAGAAGGTGTGTCAAGCAGATGTTGGTGGCTGAAGTGATTCTTTAAGATTTGTATAAAATAATTTCACTTAGGAAATCTTCGTGTCTTAGTTTACATGCTCATGGTTACAATTTTTCCAATCTAATGTTAGCAGTCTTGTTATGACAGCAAAAATACAAAGCACCAAATTGAGATCATGAATGGAATTTAAATATTTTTAACGTTTTCATGATGGTAATGCTATTTCAGCTTTTGCCCTGATACTGTATCAGTGAAAGTGTTAAGAAGCTTGTTACTTCCACAGATGTCAAACGTACCCTGCACATGCACGTCCTTGTGTGTGTAAGGCTGGTAAGCGCCAACCAACCTGTGCAGGGTTGAATGTGGTGTTATTTTTGAAAAAGTACTCATGAATCTCATCTGATTAGAAGTAAATGTAAATTCCTGCATTTGTATGTCTTTTTAAATTTTAATCAACGTAACAAGCAGCTGAAAATGTAAAGCCTGAAAAATGTCTTTGATAAAATAAAAATGTTTCTTACAAACCTTAAAGAAGTCTTTGTTTTATATTGCTTTTTGGAATGCTTTGGTGAGAAGTCCCAGTGTTTCTTATCTAGTAGCAGCTGGAAAATACTGCCAAAAAAAAAAAATCTGACAGAATGCTTTAGAAGCTATTAATACAGTTATTTTAGAGTTAATATTTGTATGTAATAATGTGGTCAAGGATGATATATTTTATTGTGCAAAAAGAGGAGTTCTCACTGTCATCAGCATGATAATGTGCTCTTAAAAAAATATACTAGATTTATTTCTAGTCTAAGAAAATCTGCTTGGCTGCCTGCTACATATAACTTGTATATAATTCTTCACATGGTCAAGCTTATGTTTTTAATACAGTTATGTAAGGTGCTTATACCTGTTGTTTTGTCATTTTCTGTTTTACAAAGAATGTAAATAGCATCACTACCTTTCTCTTGGCTAGGGTTCCTATTAAGGTGTAGAAATCACATTTTAAAAGATCCTTTTGGAAAATACAGTGGAATGTTGTATTTTCCTCTTTTACCTATGAAAATTATTGTCTGAGAGCAGTTTAATAGCAAAAGAAAACTGTGTGATCTTGTAAAATAGAAAACATTTAGTAGAAGGGGAAGAAAGGGAAAACAAACAAACAAACAGTGATGAAAAACTCTTAACAGAAAAACAGTTTGGCTAGTTCATGTCCACAACACCCAAAATGTTGATTTGGCTTCCTAGGAAGTTCCACTGTACCGAGATGACCGGCTGCGAAAGGGCCCGTTCCTGCTGCCTTGCGGAGTAGTGCTGAGCTGGTGGGGGCTTCTGCAGCACCGTTCTGGGTAGCACAGTGGTGGCACGGCTCTTCCCCCGCCACCCCCAATTCAAAACATGAATTCCCATCTCCTGCACCGGTCGGTGGGATCTGAGAGGAGAGCGATGTGTATCTAGGAAATAGGAGCCCTCAAAATGAGCTCAGTTGACAGCTTCTTGTGGCTTTCGGATTTCATATGTTCTGGGATTGGAAGTACTGATGTAGAAAAAAATATTTAGATCACCTTCTTAAGAAGCTGTCACATTCATGAGAGGAGAAACGATTTTGTAGAACCTTACCTATGACTGTGAGGCTGCTGGTTTAAAGCTGTTTCTTGAAAATCCAGGCTTGATGAAGAGCAGCCATCCTGCGCTGAAACTCTTGTCAGCAGGAACCACCCTGTACCCTTTCTCAGTTACCACCACCCTCAGAAACAGCTTGGTGGTGTCTCACCTGGTAGCTGCAACTTGAAACACCTTGTGATTTCAAATATAGTCACTTTTATATTTGCTTGGGGTAATCATTCCCCACACAATCTTACTGCTAACAAGTAATTTGTGACCCATTAGCTTTATGACCTGAGATCTTTGAATAGGATTCTGGGTGGTGCTGAGCTGCTCTAATGTATTCCTGGAGGTTAATGTGACATCCTGATATTCATAGTTCAACTGTATTGTGTGGCAGTTTTAGCTTCTACAAGTCTTTAGTAGTTAAGTAATATTCACAGAAAAAAGTTACCCAAGAAAGGTAGGAGTCTCCTGCTGTTGTTCTAGATATAGTCTATCTTTTTATGACTATTCTAAAACAATTCCCATGAAGTTGTGATTATTTTATCAATTTTTATTCATATTTTAACATTCTTTTTTGTATCTATCTGTTCTGGTTGAATACAGTAACTAACGAGGTGATAAAATACCGACTAAGAGAAAATGCTACCGTATTTAAATACACTAGCCAAAAAGAAATATGATTTGTTTTGCATCTCATCCAGGCTTAGCATCTGGGAAATGTCTGAAGATTGAGGCTGCAGAAATAAGCTTTCTACTTGCAAACCTCTTGTCTGTAAGGTTGAGAAATAGAATGGTATACTTTGAGACTCGAGAGTACCAGCATAACATCAGGAAAAATATATTGAAACTGTTTCCTGAACGATAAATATGTCAAGTGACGAACGAACTCCACTTGAGCACAAACCTCAGGGAGTGTAGGGATAGCACAAGGCTTTAAACTGACAGAGGGCAGATTTAGATTAGATATAAGGAAGAAATTCTTCCCTGTGCGGGGGGGTGAGGCGCTGGCCCAGGGTGCCCAGAGCAGCTGTGGGTGCCCCCTCCCTGGAAGGGTTCCAGGCCAGGTTGGACGGGGCTGGGAGCCCCCTGGGCTGGGGGAAGGGGGCCCTGCCCGGGGCAGGGGGGGTGGAACTTATTGGTCTTTAAGGTCCCTTCCAACCCAAACCATTCTGTGATTCTGTTCTGTGATTTTGAAGGGCACCACATCTGCAGCTACTGAAGCTCTTGGCTTCAAGAAAGGTTTAATGGTTGATTAGAAGGACAGTGGGAAGGCAAGAGAGTGAGTACCTTGTCAAAGGTAGAATAAGAAATTAAGCCGTCAGACTGAAAATAAAAGCAATCGTTGGGAGACTTGGTCCTTCTGTTGATGAACACAAAACCCTATTAAGCAAAGTTGTAGGTATTCAGCAGTTATAAATTGTTTCTAGGATTTTGTTTCTAGACAAGCTGTAAATCAAGTAAATCTTTCTTATGTGGGACCCCTGAAATTTTTCAGAGTTGTTCAACCACATCAGCAGCAGATGTTTGAAGAAGAAGACTTACCAGCAAGTGAAAATGAAGAGCAGCCTGGTCCATCTAAGCGGAAGCGCCAGCCAAGTATGTCTGAGACAATGCCCTTGTACACCCTATGTAAAGAGGATTTAGAGAGTATGGATAAAGAGGTGAGCTTAACTAATTCTGACAGGTTTCTAACCTAATAATTGTTAGTTATGCATAACAGTTTAACTTCTGTTAAATAATGCGTGTGTGTGAGCTAACCTTGTATGCCACTACAGTAACTTCAAATAAAAGCCACAGCAGGCTAAGAGTTGCGGTTCAGGCTAAAATGTAGTTATGTTCTGCAAAGCAAACTTGAATTAAGGAATGGGAGTACTCTTGTGTGTAAGTAGGCCTTTAAAGTAGACCTTCATTTAAGTATAGGTTTGTCACATGAAACATGTTACCACATTTGCTGTGGGTTTAGCTTTGCCAGGTGTCTCGTCAAATGTTTTGTGGTTTGTTTTTTTCACATTAAATCTTCAAATAATCTGGGCAAAATCAGTGGTAGGATGGGAAGAGAGAGGTCTGTAGATGTAAAAGGCACAGGCTGTAGAGAAGATCAGAGAGACAAAGGGGAGCGTGGGGCCTCGTTATGTGTAGACATGTAATTGCAGTGCTGTTAAATCATAGCTGTCATGGTTCTGCAGGTGAAGGGAACTTTCTATTAGAGTGAACTGTACTTTCTCGGTACAAAAACGCGTTATTTGAAATTCATTGTGAACCTCTAGCAGCTGCTTATTTTTCACTTACTCTTGTGTGCAGTTTTTTCAAATGAATCACCATCTTACATAATATTAAATGATACACGGAGGAAAAAATATTTATCATTTCACACCATGTTTTCACAAATTCCTTACACTGTGTGTGACTTCACTATAAAACATAGTGAACCCGGAGCTTGAATTCACCTTTGAGCTTAGATCATTCACTGGGGTGGGGACAGGAGTGTGTAACTTGCCAGCTTCTGGCAGTGAATTGATTACAAGGTTCTAGTCATAACAGGCCTCAAGAATTATCTTCAGAAAATATAATATAGTGTGAGAAGGAAACTGCATATGTCACCAAGGAAAGAATGAGTCTCTGTATACAGTATAGCAGAATTTTGTGATGTGCTGTTGCTAGAGAGGTGAGAGGTCCTGGAGGAACTTAGAGCAGGTATTCTAGGGAAAGGCTCAGTAACTTTCAACCACTGTGATGATCTACTCTGAATTTCAGATGAGTGCAAGCTTTTAACTTTACCTGGTAAATCTGAGTTGACAACTTTTGATTTCTTTTGCTTTTTGTTCCAAAGTGTTTTACCCATTTGATCTTAGACTTCCACAAGAAATTGTATTTCTTCTTGTCATGATGCTGCAAATTGTTACTGTGGGTTGTTTTTATGTTTTTGTGTACTAATATTTTTCTAATGGTGTGGCTTTTGGAAAACATTAATGAATTGCTGTTGCAGTGTATGCACTGAGCTGAAAGAAAGCGTGCACATTTTCCATAATTACTGCAAAAAGCATTTGTCGTTCTGTTTTTAAAGATACTATTTAGGGACTTTGTTAAAAATCTTTATCTTCTGGCATTGTTCATCTTGTGATTGATTGCTCTCTATGCTACTACAGTTAGACCAAAGAATAGTAGTTTTTCTACCTATCCTACAAATATAAACATCTTAAATTGTGATGATTTGTTTTTAAATTATGCTTTTAATTAAGCTGCATGTTATGTTTGGAAACTAAACTACATGAACATCAGAACAAATGAAGCCCAAATTCCAATGGATATTTTTCATAGTTGACTGAGCTTTTGTTCAGCAGTATGATTTGCGGTTATAATTGCTGCCAAAAGGTTTCCCTTCCACCAGTCTCTATTCTCACCCCTGTCTTTATTAAATTTACATTTCTCTGATCCTCGGGCAACTGAGCCAGTAGAAACTCTTCACTTGTTTTTTGTACAGCGGTATGTTTTGGGTTTGTCTGATGGGGATGATGGCGGGTGGGAGCTTCTGGTATGTTGGCTCCCGAACATGATTTGATCAAGGACCAAACATTAGCACGGAGACATGGAGGAGGGGACACACAGGGACATATACTGGGGAGGTCAAACTGGACGTGGTAGTGCCAGCAGGTCATCATCTCCTGGGTGCTGACTATAGAAACTGCTAAGGGAGACTCACCGTTGTGGACTAGCCTTGGGACTGCTAGTGTCACCTTGGTAAAGAGAATGTATTCATGTACAAGAAATGTAATATAAATAATAAACTAGGATTTTATGGCATTGTGTTGGAGTGCACTTATGAAACAGGGGGAGGGCGTATAGTAACGTAGTCCATAAAATACAAAAGTTTAGTGGAGCATACACAGGAGATTCTGCTGTCAGGAACATAATCAAATAAAGTGAAAAGAAGCTTGATAAGCGTTGCTGGTTGGTGCTCAGGTCGCTCTGGTGACACTGTGACTCCTTTAACTTCCCCAGAAAGGCGTTTGCCCACATCTCCCTCTTTATCAAAACACGTTAAAGGGTAGGAACCTTTCTGCACTTGTGTCGCTAAGCGGTGTGAAATTTCTGCTTTCTGCCATGAAGATGCTTTCGCTTCATTTGCACCCATTTCAGGGGCTGCGTCAGCCACGAGATCTGCGGCTGACGGCAGAGTCCCTTGGTGGAGCGAGGGAGTCTCTTTCGGTCACAGCAACGATGCCTGCACGCGCTGGTGCTGAGACTGTTGGGGTTAGGATTACGTGGTCCAGGAAGAGTGAAACCAAGTTACGGTGGGACTTGGCCGCAGTGTAAGCCAGCCCAAGGCTCAACTGTTGTGTTCCTGCCCCTGCGCCACCGATGGCGATCATGGGACCACACAGCGAGCCAGTTCAGGGAGCTGGGTTGGTCAGAAAAGATCACTTGCTAGGTGTTCAACCGCTTCCATCATTACCAGCTTTCTGAAATAACTCACCACTGCTGCTGTGTGAGTACTAGTGCCAGGAGCAGGCAGAAGATGCAAAGAGCTGGGAATGAGCAGTGAAGGCAGAACTGCAGCCCTCTAGCTTTAAAACTGCATCCTCAGTATTTCTGCTGAATTCCCTGGAAAATTCAGATGAGGATTTTTTACTAGATCAAAAAGGAACCTTTTAGCTTTAGCCACTGGGCTTTTTTTTTTTTCCAATTCAATGCAATAGGAAAGGCAAGCCTTTAATAAACGTTAATAAATTTAAAAATCTTGCTTTTTCTTTATAAAAGTCTCTGAAAAGGCCACACAGTCCAAAGCAATACAGAACTTGCATGTAGTTTATTCATGAGAGAGTTTTGTTAGAAGAATCGAGATGGAAGCCAATAAAGAGAATTTAATTATTATTTATTTATAAATTAAGCCCCTTTCCATCCTTAACCGATTTAAACATCTGTCTGTTGCTTTTCCTAGTAAAAAAGCTGTATCTGTTCCGATATTCCATCGGGAAGAACTGCCATGGATAGGCATCTCTGCTAAAATCTGCTCTTACGTGGATTTTTATCTTCTCTTACTATTTTAGCTGTAGTTGTACGATGGATACCAAATAAGTGGGTTGCAGTTTAAGGTCACTTAGCCTTTTGTATCTTTTTTAGTGCCAAATATTTGGGAGACCAGATCCAATGGTTCTTCTTTTCCCTTTGACACGAGGGACCGTTTGAACGTCAGGAAAGTGCAAGAACAAGAGTATTCAATGTAATAGGATTGCTGTTCAGAGAGCAATTGCCAAATCGGAGTAGATGCATGAGGAATGGATCCCTGCTTGGGAAATACACAGCTAGCTAATGCTGCTGCCTCCCAGCTGAGAGAACATTTTCCCCACTTCTTTTCTGTGCTAGCTACTCACAGATGCTTTGCAACTGGTTGCGGCCGTTTGTCTCTGCTATGGAATGGTAAAGGGAAGGAGAATTAAATACTGCCTGTTAAATTAGCTTGTTTATAGTAATTTTTAAAGGCCTGAATAAATTTTTATTTCTAAATAACTGTTTATCTGATCTATAACCTGCAGAGGATTACTCCATAAAAAAGCTGTTCATACCAGATTGTATCTAGTAGGCTGTAATCTTCCTGGTACGTTGCTGGTTTCACCAAAGGGCAAGGATTGAAAACCATCTTTAAAGAGGAGGTTTCGAAACAATTAAATGCAGTCAGTAATAGCTAACCTGAAATCTCTCTTGTCAGTAGTATCTGTTCCGGGATGACTTTTGTTTTCTCATACCCAATAATCTCACTTAGAGGGAAGGTGTCTACTTTTCCTTTCATGGACTGTGCTGGGCAGTAACTTGCAGAAGGCTGTCTGTAGGGAAGGAGAGCCGGACTGTCTGCAGCTCTTCCCGCCCGACATTGCTGCGGGGGTCCGCTTGCTTGCTCGCCAGCTTGCCAGAAAGGTACAGGACTGATGTTCCTTGCGTGCTTTTGGTGTGACTGTGTGGCGTCCCTGCCCTTCCCCAGGGCTAGGTGGAAGTTGCTGACCTACTGGTCACTGCAGTGTTGTGCAGATCTGCTGTAGTTTGCTGACAAAAACCAGAAAGCAGAATCCAGGCTTCGAATGACTCTCTTCGTTTCCAGAAATAAGATTTATTAGCTCAAGCAGGTTGCGGAAAGGAAGGTAATGGCATACAAATCATGTGAAGACATACACGCATCTTTCCATTCCAAATTTATTATCTCATTAGAGTGACATGCAGCTCTCCTTCTCAGAGGTTACTCACGGATCATCTTGTGAGGATATTTCTTCAGAATCCACTGAGAACCTCTCCTGTGAACTTCTGGCGTATTGTTTGCATTCTGCACTGATGCAATTACTTACACATTTAAAGAAGGCCAGCAAAAATAACCTGTGATCAATATTTAATAAATTGTTAGTCTTGCTGATCTAGAAATTGTTTTTATTTCATTTCGGCTATTGTTAATTCTTTTTTATTACGGATGGTTTTCCTCTGCATTTGTATCCCTAAATGATATTTGAAGAGAACCTTGTGCAGCTGGGCTTGTATCAAGTACTGTTACCTAGTCAGGTTGATCTGATCTTAACGCTGTTGTGTCCTGTGTGCTATAAATAAGCTGTGTTTGTTTTTACATACTAACTGCTTCCTGATGGACCTTGACTTGGCTTTTCTGTAAAATTTAATCTTT